TCCTCCTCCTCTTCCTACTACTACTACTACTACTACTTCTTCTTCTGCTGCTACTACTACTACTACTCCTACTACTACTGCTACTCCTACTACTACTACTACTACTACTCCTACTACTACTGCTACTCCTACTACTACTACTACTACCACCACTACCACTACTACTACTACTACTACTACTACTACTACCACTACTACTACTACTACTACTACTACTATTACCACCACTACCTACTACCTACTACCTACTGCCTATGCTACTGCTACTGCTACTGCTACTGCTACTGCTACTGCTACTCCTACTAATACTACTACGACGACGACGACTACTGCTGCTGCTACTGCTGCTACGTGGTCATGTGTCCGGCGGTTTCTCGTGCCAGAATCGTTGTGTTGTAGATGGTCGTAGAGCATGGAACAGGAAGCCATCTCCAAGCACGTGCAGAGCAAGTCGGGTGGAGTCACCTTCTGCGAGGGCGACGGCCGCCCCAGTTTGGCTCTCAAGGCCAAGGGCTCGAAAAAAGTGTACACCCACCGGACAACTCTACACCCTAGGGTGTAGTTGTATTGAGTGCTGTGTTGTGTTTTGCCAGTCCTCTTTGTCTTCGCAAGTCTGACCTACACGCATATGCCTCGCCTGATTGTAGAAATTGTGAGCTCCGGAAGCTGAACCCTACCCAAATTCCCCGCGGTGCGACTTGGGAGCCAGGCCTTGACGATTTGGAAGCCCGAGGAGGCCGAGGTAAAGCGCACTTCAGGTGGCCGAAGAGAGTGCCTTGGTATGTTTGTTTTGGGTATTTCTGGGCTTCCAAGGAGGCTCCTTGTGAAAGTTTCCATGGGAGGATCGAAGATGAAAGTGTATAGGAAACCTTAAGTCTTAGAATGAGCGAGTTTTCTGATCTATGTTTTTCTCAAGCTGAGGGCCCCCGGCGGTTTGAGATCCTCTATCAGGGCTTATAGGAATTTTCAAATCTGAAGCCGAAGCCCTGAGAAGTTCCAGGTCCAAGGAATGCCTCTTTGAGAAGTTGAGCCTGGACTTCCAGGAGGGATGGAGGGTTCTAGTCCACGGGCCTTCCGGCGTGGGCAAGAGCAGCTTGCCCTTGAAGTGCGGAATTACCTGGCTCATGAGGGGCTCAGATTGGGTGGATGGGGGGCTACAGCCTCCTCTCGGGTCAGTTTAGGGTGTAAAGTATGCTTTAAGACTGACAAGGAGCCCTTACATTCACTAGACGAGCTATTGAGTTTGCAGCCCGTGCCAGAGTTCCAGCTCCCAGGCACCCTTCTGCGTGCCATTTCTGGGGCCTGGCCCTTTGCGGAGGGTGAGGTTTGGACACCCGGGAGATGCTCTCTGCTGGTCTTCCCTGCAGAGGCGCGGAGGGAGTGATCAACAAAAAAGGGAAGCTGGAAGTGTCGCGGAGGGCTGTAGAACTGTAAGCCTGTTCTTCCGCAGGTCTATGTGCCCGCGGGTCAGCTTCGTTCGGCGGTGTGCTACCCATCGGCAGCTGGTGCTGAGGGCTTTGCAGATGAGGATGTTGAGCGGGCCTTGACCACGGTCGGTTTGGGCCAGTTTTTGAAAGAGCCGTCATTGGACGCGGTGGAGGATTGGGACATGGTCCTGAGTTCCGGGCAAAAGGCCAGGGTCTCCTTGGCCCGGCTCTTGCTGAACAAGCCCAAGGTCGCCTGCCTTGACGAGCCAGTGGCGCACTTGCAGGAGTCTGCCAGGGCACCTCTCTTGGAGCAAGTCTTCCGGGAGCTCGACCCCGAGAGCGTCGTTCTCATGGTCACACATGACTTGTCGCCGGACATTGTCAAACTCTTCAACCGAGCTTTGCATGTCGACACGGAGAAGACGACGCTGTCACAGAGCTTTGCTGGTTGACACCCCAAAGACGACGCTGTCCGTGCCACAACACAAGATTGAACGCCTCGTCCCCAAGAGTTTCATGGAATCGGTTTGGCACTTTGCTCGTCCCGCAAAAGCGGCACGGAGGGCAGAAGGAACGAAAAAGATTGGCCTCCGAAAGATCTCGATGTATTGGGCCATACTGAATCCAACGTGATGTATATACGTACAGTTACGTACTCGTACGGATAGATATAGGTGAGGTAGGTCAGGTAGGTTCTATATTATAGTACACTGGTATGGCCAGAGTCTTGTACCCGTCGCCTGTTCGCCAACGGTTCTTGACTCGTTGCTCCCGTGGCATTTTGCCCAAGCTCGGGCATGCGTACTTCCCTTGTCCTGATGCTGCAAATGCAACAGCAAAGCTCGAGTCTCAGATGCTCAGCACCTCTCGACCGACATGGGGATAGTGTGCTTTGTGCCAGCCAGGTTCGGCCCAAGGCCAGCATGTGCCGGCCAGGCACCCGAAAGAGGCTCACGGCTTGAACAGCTTTGACGATTTCTGTGAGTTTTGTGCTTGAGAAGTCCCTTCCTGTTGTGGTGTGCCTGTGGCCTGAGTCGAGGCTGCGCTGACCTTTGCTTTGCCGGCTTCAGTGGTCCGGGCTACAACGCTGCAGGAGAGCCCGCTTCAGTGTTGGTTATCAGCGTGCCCCAAGACATTCGGACGCTGATGCGATTGTTCTGCGACTGCTGTGGCCATTTGTATATACGAGGCAGTGCTGGCTGCATCTGTCACGCTTGCTAAGACTGTGACTTAGTAACATTGTGGCTACGATGTTTTTGTGTTGCCATCATCTCTTTTGCCGATATGACTCGCATGAATTCTGGTGTGATGGCTGTGCGCCCAGGGCCTGTCGCTACAGGGCAGTCAGCGGAAGGCCATTGGCGGCTCAGGTGCGACACGTGCCAGGGCTTGGAGACGTTGATGTCGGTCTTTGTCAACTGCTCGATTCCATTTCATGGGGTCCACCAAGATATCCTTTGTGCTGGGTATTCGATCATATAAGATAAGTTTTTCGCAACCTTCCATTGGGCCGGGCGACCCCGCGATTGCACGCACATGCAGCATGTTTGCTACTGCGGCCGCTCAGGTTTAGTAGGTTAGGCTAGGATTCAAGGTGTAGATCTACAGTTCTTTACAGTCTTACCTTGCTGCGGACATCAGTCCAGCAGCTTCGATGCCCGGCGACATTCACAAGACGGAGCAGGAGACCGCCGAATACGTCGTACCGACCTCTACTACAGCTCTCGGGTTCTCGTTGAGCAGCGCATTTTGGGGTTTTTCCATGCAAGCGCACCTCTTAGCCGAAATGCCATCAGAGACGTTTGAAAGCCCAGGATTTGGAGGAAGTCTTTAGCCCCGCCGGAGGGAGCTCCGGTAATGGCGAAGTCGAGCCTTTGAGCCCGGAAAGTGAAGGCGGCACATATCCTCCCGGCCTCCCTCATCCTCTGGGCTCCGTGGAGCACGACACTTGGCAAAGGGAATTTGGGGGTCTGCTGGATGCATCGTAGGGGGTACAGGCTTCCCGAGTCCAAGAACAAAGGACAGCAGCAACAAGTTCAAGCACGGTGCTGGGATGGCGAAGCCGAAGAGCGGACCGCATGCCGACGCCGCATCCAAGTCCCCGAGATATGTCAACTTAGACTTCGTTGCTACTCCTTTTGTGGAGACCTTGGATGTCGCACTACCACAGAAGCTGCCGCTCCCAATGCTGCTCGGTTGCTTGAAGTTTTGGCGAGTTTTCCCATCATGCCGGATATACATACAAATTTCTTATGTATGTATGTATATATATATATATACACACATATACTTATTTATCGATCCGCCGATCTATCTATCTATCTATCTATCTATCTATCTACCGTAGAGTACTACCAGGGGGATATCTGCTGTCGAGGGACCGAGGATAGGCCCGGAGAGGGCCCGAAGGAAGGAAGGAAGACAGAGACAGACAATGACATGAGACTCGCAGTCGAGAGGGTGCAGCAAGCGCATAAAGTCGTTGTGAAAGCCTGACAGTTTCGGTGGTAGTAACAATAGTCGTAATTCATCTTGTTGTTCCCAAGAGCTGAGGTTTCCGGGCCCGGCGAAGCCGGAGTCTTCCAACCCCTTTGACCGAACTCTTCACGATCGGGGCAGCTCGGGATCAGAACTGGAGGAGTTTGTGATTCAGGGTTTCGTCAGTTTCGTGATTCAAGGTTTCGTGGGTCGAAGGTGACGAGGGGGATGGGGGGGGAGAAGGGGGGCATCATGAACGTGGTACCCTTAGAATCATTGGTTCTCTTGCAGCAGGTCCGGTTTCGTGCATTCGTCTCTCCAGGTTCGACTCTAGTGTACACAGGCAGTCACATGCGTGTGTTTCACGAGGTTCTTCGGATTCTGACTTCATCGTCCGAGATAGTGGGTTGCCCAAACCGGACGAACTTTCTGGTGAATCCATGTGAAATCCTCTGAAGCCCTCTGAATCCCAAAGCTCCTTTCCTTCTCAACTGGAATCACGAATCTTCAGTCCAAGCTGAACTGAAAACGTAGCCTAGCCAGGCCCTGACGCTACCCAAGAAGCTAGAATCCAAGGAGAGTGCAAGCCCTGCGCATGGTTCTGGACCCCCGGCGGCTGCCAGAAAGGTGACTCGGGCCTGATATGGCCGTGAGGGACGAGGTGTGTTGCGGATTCTGTTCTATTCTGTTTTATACCACATTACATCATATCACATGATGCTTGCATCATTGTTTTATGATACTATATGAGCCTTCTCGTCTCCTCCGCACCGAAACGGAGAGAGTGAGGTTCCTGCAGGAGCCGTTGGCGAGCCCCCGGGCCTCCATCCACTCCGGCCAAAAAGCTCTAGTTGTGATTGGCATTATGGCCCGGATTGGCCAATGGCTCAAGGTGTTTTCGGAGATCCCTTTCATGCTTATGGACATCTCGTGCCATCAATAGCAAGTCACAGCAACATTGGCACTGAATGCTTCCATCACGAGATACAGAGACATATCTCCTAGCAGAAATTTCATGTTCTTCCCCATGGCTCGCGTCATTCTGGTGAGCCTTGTTTTGTCGTTCCAGCCACTTGCTGGCGACGCTTTCGGCGCACCGCTGACAGAATGGCAAGAGCAGGTCTTCGGCGAGGTGGAGAAGAGTGCAGCGGAACAGTCCAAAGCTGCAGAGCCTGAGCTCTTGGCCCTCTTCGATTCCAAAGACTTCCGTGCGAACCTTTCCTCCTGCTGCCCGTCCTTAGCAGAACTAACGGCCAAGGAGCTGTTGGACAGAGTCTCCAAGCAGATGGAGGTGGCCGAAGTTGCATCTGGCTTCCCTGCAGACCAAGATCCCGCCAAGATGTTTCCGGATTCCCCCGGTATGTCTATTGGCTTCGGCATGAACGGCACATTCTTCCTGAATGACTGGCAGTCTGTTTTGACGCACTCATCGGATCCAGATCAGATATGGCATGGTCTCCTAGCCACATATGTGGGATTCCATGTCAATTCCTCCAAGGGGGCCGTGACCGTGGAGCAGTGGTTTGGCGGCTGTTCCGGCAACAAGACTATGCCTGTCGAGATGCTACTATCAACATGCTATGAGCAACCCTTTTCCAAGGGCATGAACATGATCATTCGCTACGACTATGAGCCAGGTCAGGTTAACTGTTCCATGTGGATGGCTGGCAACAGCTCGAAAGTCTTCAGTGGCTGGAAAAGCCCATCGTTGGAAACCAACGGACCGATAAAGAAAGTGGATTGCCCGAAAGACGCGGCATTCGCCACACAGATCTATGTGGCAGATGGCCATTGTCACATCTATGCGACGGAAAACAACTCTAAACAATTCTGTCAACAAGATCATGCAGAGACCGACTTGTACGGCATGAAGCCATTCCGATCCTGTGGGGCGCCATCCACTCTTAAAGAAGCTGACGAGCGTCCGGTCTATTCCATGGTCAACTTGAACATGATTGACATGGGAAGTCCCATCTACGGCGACGTCTCTGCCGTTTTTGCGCAGAAGTACATCGCCAGCAGCGCAGTCTTGTCTCCGGTGGACACTGGCTTGGTGGAGATGGGCTGCCTCGGTAAGGCGCCGTTTCCATGGGCACCGCCACACAACTGCAGTGCTGTAACGGGCTTCAAGCAGCTAGGTACTCTGCAGCACAACAAGCACCTCTTCTTGATCAACAAGGGCTTCTGGCATGGTCGTGGTCTCCTACACACCACCTTAGAGAGGATGGAGGCTCCTTGGGGGCGTCATGCCGTACCAGGCGGCTCTTTCCTGAACTACTTCGAGGGTGCACTCCTAGGTCAATTACAGTTTCCTTCAGCAATTCGTTTCCTCATCGGTGCTTTCCCGGCACTCTTCGGCACTGACATGGGGGTCCGCTTACAAGCCTGGGCAAGGAGCCGGGGTTGGGTCTTGATTTGGGCACTTGGCTCGAATGAGAAGGCGGTCCCCGGAGAAACTTCAAATTTCAATTTTCAGCTGCTGGCAGGGCACACGTCCTTCGAAGTCAACAAGCGCATGATTGATCCCGTTGTCCTTTCGGAGACGACGGCGGCAGCAAGCCTGCGCTTGGGCCCCGATGTAACCGACAAGTTCAAGCAGATGTGGGCAGCGGTTGCCAACCTACGGAACACAACCTCAGTGACCAATGCGACCGTGGCCCAGAAATGGCAAGAGACTGCCGTGCTTCTTCCGCAGCTTCCGATTCGTCCTCTAATGGGTGGGGACTGCGAAGCGCAGCTGCTGAACGCCGAGTGCATTGGAATGACGTTGCAGGGCAGCTGCGTCTGCTATGCAAGCACGGAGTTCGAAGGCCCTCAGGAGATTGTCGTGGTGTGAGTTCTGGGGCTCGCAGGCAACGGTGTCACCACGGCGAGAGTCTGATTTCATTCAGATGTACAATGTACAGTTTGTCCGCCCTGGTGAGGAATCACTATGAATCAGATCTCTGCACGGCCACCATGGGAAAAATTGCGGCAGTTTCTGCGCCAAGCTGAGTTCGATGGTTGAACCTGTGCATGTTGTCTTGAGGCTGCAGGGGGTCTGTTCGTAATTTAATAGGAGAAGAGGCAAGTGCAAAGTCAGTGGCAGAATTTGTCACACAAGTCTTCGCGCAAATTCGTGATTTCATGTAACTATGCGAGCCAGATGAGGCAGAACTTACCTCAAACAGAGTTTACCTCACCTGAAGTGTCCGAGTTTCGAGAGTCCTTTGACGGAAGTAAACAAAGGGAAACACACATTTCTAGTAATGCCAAGCCGGAAACCTGCCCCCCAGCCTCCAGGCGAAGCGTGCGAGTTTTGCCATCTCTGCCCCGCCGGCGAGCTCAAGGCACGAAGGAAGCAGCGGCTTCAGGAGCTGCGTGCCTCGCCTGCCGCAGTGGGTGTTTACATATTTTGTCATTGTGTATATATATATATACACATACACACACACATATATATATATATGTATATATATATACACACACATTATAAGGTATGGTCTCTGCTTTGCAGATGAATGTCACAAGAAGGGCCGCTCTTCCTTGCTGATCAAGATTTAGCGGCGAAGGAGTAGGCATGTTCGAGAGCACGCTGAGTCTGGTCAGCAGTGCTGTAGGCAGGAACCTTCTTTGTGAGCCATATCCTAGCACCGAGCCCTCAAGTCTTGGTCCCGTCAGGGGAGCAGCATTGCCATTGTAGCTGTGAGTGTGCCGCGTGTCAGCCTCTGTTACCTTGGATCTGCTCTGGGTTCGTGGTGATTGTTTCGGTGGGCTGGAATTATGGCAGATTACTTAGAGGGCTGCTTGGATGCCTTCGATCTCGAAAACCGGTACTGCTTGGTGCTGTACGAGACCGAGAGGAGGTGGCACGAGAGATTGCTGATCAGGAAAACGAACCAGAACAGGGACGGCAGGTCACCTGGGTGGTTCGTAGTCGCCACTCCAGAAGGTGACGTCTACGCCGAATCACTTGCTCCTCCCAACGTTGTCGGTGTGATCGTCTTGCCTGACAATCGCCAGTTGCCCCCTGGCTTGTTGGCACGGAGCGTGCACCGTTTTGAGAACGGTTCGGTTGGACATGCTCCGACAGGGGCCGAACTGGCCCACTTGAGAGGCACTGCGCATGGAGAGCTCATGCTGGTGCAGGCGGAGATTGATGGGCTAGATAGCCCAGTCCTTGGCGCAGGAGCCGCTGGGACTCCTGTGCCAGCGCCGGCCGCGAACACTGGACCCGCGCCTGTGGCCTTGACTCCCGTTGCAGGGTACACCTGGGTGGTGGCAGCCGCTGAGGGATCAAGGGCTAAGGGTAGCATTCTGCCTTTGGGGCAGGTTGTGAGTGGCCAACAGTTTGGTTCAAAAGGAGTGGCGGCGCTGGTTGACGGAAGCGTCGTGTTTGCTGAACTCATCCCTAGCCATGAGGTTGGGAAGTATGGTATGCCGGTGACCCCCGTTGCCTCAGGAGGGCAGCCCAACATTGTCGGCCTACATGGGGGCGCTTTGGCGATCAACCAGGCGGACGATGCCCGCACGCTGGCGGTGAGGTATGGCAGCGATGGAAAAAGACGGAGGGAGCTGCGGGACGGGGTGGGCCAAAGCAGTGAGACCGCTTGGACCGATTGGCCCATCAAGGGTCCACGGACCGCTCGGTGGGTCGCCCAATACATCGTGACCAACGGCGGCGCCCCTTTGTCAATGCACCAGGCCTGGAAGACGAACTGCAAGCTCCAGGCCTCCGACGGCGGGGTATTGGAGCATGAGGCTATCTGCAAGGTCCTGGAGCTCGCGATTGAGTACGACCAGCTGAACGTTGGTGAGCTCGCAGCGGTCGAACTTCTGTGCCGCCGGTTGCAGATGATCCAATACCGGTGGCGCGAAAGGATCCTTGGAGCGACTGCTACGGGCACGATTGAAGACGAGAGCCACTTCTTCATGGGGACGGATCCCACCCGGGGTAACCTCTGCATCTGCCCCTCCCTTAACACATGGTTGGGCGAGGAGCTGCACAAGGAGTCACAGATGAACAAGGAGCAAAGAAAGGCCCGAGAGGAGCGGGCTTTGTTGCGCTCCGGGAAGTCAAAACCGTAGCGGCCCTCCTCGGGCCGCTTGCGGGCTGCAGATCCTTGGCCGCGATCTTCAGCTGTCTCCTCGAGGCCGCGCCTTTTTGAATCAGTTTTGACTTTTGTAGCTCGGTTCACTGAGCTGCGCTTTTGATCATGTCGTTGCCACGGCAGCGTGACCTCCTGCCGCTCCGACTGCCTGATGCAGAGAGAGTTTGGAGGGAGGGTTTGGGTCGAGGGACCCGACAGCGAATTAGCCGGAGACTGGCTGCGGACGCCTGGGCCCGAGAGGGGGCTCAGACTTTGAACGACCTGTATGGGAAGGCTCATGTAGTGAGCGGCGTCGCCGCGCCGGTGGGGACCCATGCTTGCGCGCTGGAGCACCTCAGGGGCCGCTATCAGTGCGTTGGCCCCCACGTCTCGTCCCGAGGAAGCCTTGACTGCGCTTCTCGGCTCAATGTCGATCTATGAGAACGACCATTTTGAGTGCAAGCATGCCAGCTTTGACGAGAGTAAGATCTCTTGGCCGGAGCCGGGGAGCAGTCCTGTTGAGATTGCGGAACTCCTGACTCCGGACGTGGGTAGATTGTTAAAGTTGGATGGCGTTTGTGAGCTTCTCGCCGATGCTGGGGAGAAGGGCTTGTCTGAAACAGTTAGGCCCTATGTAGATCCTGTGCTGGCGAATTCGCCCACGAAGATGGGCAAATTTTTGACACGGCTGTTTGATGCTAACATGCTTTCTTTTAAGCCGGGTTGGGAAGCTGCTACCGTCGGAGTTTTCTTTGTTTATAAAAAGAACGGGTCCCATCGTTTGATACTGGACACTCGAGATGCAAATCAAGCCTTCGCAAAGCCACGGTCATCTCGTCTCCCAACGCCGGCGGCCTGGACCTCGCTGGAGTTGGACTCTAGGGAGGTGCTCTACACGGCGACGGGGGATGTGGCTGACGCTTTTCATCGCATGAGGCTCCCGGTGCATCTTCGTAAATACTTCAGGTTGCCCTCGATTCAATGCCGTTTTCTTGAAAGACGGTTGTGGCCATCTGGTTGCAGTGAGCTTGATTACGTCTGCCCGGAGTACGCTACCCTTCCCATGGGTTGGTGTTGGTCTTTATTCTTTTGCCAAAGCCTTCTCGAGAATGCTGCTCGGGAGGCAGGCTTGCGGGATGACGACCGCATCGAGGACAGATCCTGGGCAGGGCAGGTGAGCAAGGGGCGCTTGGTTCATGCTGAGTATGTAGACAACTTCTTTGTCAGCGGTACCGACGCAGACTTGGTGCAACGGGGCTTCAACCGGCTGCGAGCGGTCTTGGAGCAGTGGGGGTTTCGAATCCATGATGTTTCTGATGCTGCTCCTGTGGTTGAGGGCCTTGGCTTACTGATTGACGGGAATGCGGGACGTATCTCGCTAACCGCCAAAAGGATCTGGAAGCTACGGCTCGCCTCCATTGCACTTTGTCGTCGCCGAGGCGCGCCGCTACCCAAGATCGTCGAGAAAATTATTGGTCATTTCACCTTCGCCATGCTGATTAGGAGGGAGACCCTGTCTGTATTCAGTCATGTGTATCGCTACTGTCGCTCTGACCGTCCTAACCCCGCTATCTGGGCGTTAGCCAAGAAGGAGCTCATGCAGGCCTCCTCTTTGCTACCGTTGATGAGTTCCTCGATGTCGGGTGTTTGGGATACTACTGTCAGTGCTACAGACAGCAGTGATGTCGGATATGGTGTTTGCGAACGTCATCTTCCTGCACCTGCCGTTGCTCGCACTGCCAGGACCTGCGAAGCGTGGAGATACAAGGTTGCGGGAGCCATCAAGGCCCGGGAAAATGCCTTAGGCCTTGTTGATTCCGGTGAGCGCCTCCCCCATTATTTGCAGGATGAGTGTGCCAGAGTGTGCAGCTCCCAGTTTGAGGAGGTTCAACCTTTCATCCTCGATTCCACCGCATGGCATACAGTGTTCAGCGGGAGATGGCACTATGAAGAAAACATCCTCCGTACAGAAGGGCGAGCCTGTATAAGTGGGGTTCGCCACAAGCTTCGCTCTCTGAGGTCATGTGGTCGGCGGCATCTGTTGCTGGTCGACAATTTGTCGTTAGCACTGGCCCTTACGAAAGGACGGGGATCGAGCTACATTGCAAATCGATCGTGCCAACAACTGTGTGCCTTGAGCCTCGCTTCTGACTGTAAGTTCTTCGTCCGATGGATTCCTAGTGAAAGAAACTGTGCCGATAAACCGTCGAGGTCACCTCTCATTGTCCAGAACGTGTCCTCTGATTCGGCAAGTTGTCATGGCTCGAGAGGTTCGCACCCTGCAGCCCCGCGGGGAGTCGCAGTTGCCCGGCAGTGCCCCGACGCAAAAGCACCGAAGAGCGGCTTCTGCCAAAGGCACCGAAGAGACCAGCAGACCCAGCCTCGACAGTGGACATCTTGGCGGGGAGCCAATCGCACTTGGAGCTGTTCAAGGTGAGACGGACTGCGACACAGGAGAGGTATCGGCGCGTGTTGGGGACTTTTCTGGTGTGGTGCGAGGCGTACCTTCCGTTGACCCACAACTGGGACGCCCTACTTACTGCCTACCTCAACGAGCTTTACGCCCGCGAGGAAAACGTCAGCGTCGCGGAGTACACGTTCGCCGCCTTCAAGCACAGGTACCCCGAGTTCGGCAAGTTCGGCGTGCAAGGGCTGCCCAGGGCCACCCAAGCCTTAGAAGGCTACCGCAACCTGGCGCCGCCGCTCATGCGCCTGCCGACCCCAAGGGCGGCACTCATCGCCATCATCGGGGTGCTGTTGGCGCAAAGAATGATCACCATGGCCATCGCCCTCCTTCTGCAGTGGGATCTGTTACTCAGGCCCGGCGAACTTGCGAGCCTGACTGTTGGCCAGCTGGTCCCGCCAGCTGGCACCGCGGATATGTGCAGATGGGGTGTCATAGTGGCTCCGTCCGAAGGTGGGAATGGCGACCCAAGCAAAACCAACCTCTACGACGAGGGCATTACCCTCTCACCAATGTTGGATGTTCTGACCGAAGCCATCGCGGAACTGAAGGCAGCTCGACTGACTTCGCTGATGCTTTTTCCCTTCACCTGCGCCCAGCTCGCCGAGCAGTTCAAGAAAGCGGCGGCTCGCGTGGGAGTGGCACACTTGGGTGCAACTCTCTACGGGAACCGCCACGGCGGAGCAAGCGACATGAGGCTACGTGGTGTCGGGCTTCCGGAAATCAAAAAGCGGGGTCGCTGGGCTGCCGACTCCAGCCTGCGAAGGTACGAAAAAGCCACAGTGGCGCAGCAGCAGCATCTGAAGGTCCCGGCTCAGACGCGAGTTTACGCCGACTTCGTCGAGACTCAGTTGAAGCAACTGGGGCCGATGCTGCGCCAAGCCATCCGCCTGCCCTCGGAAGACAACCTGGCGGGCGGCAGTTCAGCGACAGGTGGAGCCGCTGCCCAAACTGAGCTAGGTAAGAGAGTGCGCAGACATTTGCGACGCAAGTTTCAGCAAGCTCTTCGACAGGCCAGTGTCAATCGTCGCCAGGTTTTCGTCGAGCTCTTCGCCAGAAATGGTGCTATTAGTCATGGCCTTCGCAAGTTGGGGGTTGCAGTAGTCACTTTTGACGTTGGCCACTGTCAGCTCGAAAATGTGTTACACCCAGTTGTCCAGTCAACACTGCTTGGATGGATCACCTCTGGCGCTGTTTTGGGTATCTGGGTAGGAACTCCTAGCTCCTCTTGGTCATTCAACAAGGCGTCCTTTTTCGCCCGCACAAAAAAGCACATCCTCGGCATTCCCAGCCTCTACGGTAAGCACCTTGATGCTGTGAGCCTGGGCAACCGTACCATGCAATTTAGTGCTGAAGTGATCCGGAGGTGTATTCGCTGTGGAGTGCCTTGTTGCCTGGAGAATCCGCTTACCAGCTTGCTTTTTCTCGCACCGCCTGTGCGCGCTTTGCGCAAGCATCCTTGCTGTCAGGAGTTCAAATCGGACCTCTGCCAGTACGGAGCTCAATGGAAAAGGGCCACTAAGGTTGTGACGTGGTTCTGCGGAACTGAGGCACCTTCTCTCAGGTGTCAGCCAACGCATGCTCGCAGCTGCAGCCGCACGCATCGTCCTCATCAAAAGCTGGGTGGAACATCTCCCACAGGAGTTCCTTGGACGACTCTTGCTCAGCAATATCCCTCGAAGTGGGCACAACAATGGTCACGCGTCTTGTTCGACGCGGCGATGAATGGCATCCAAGCTCGGTTGTTACGGTGTGTTTCTTGTCTGTAGTTGTTGTCTCCTTCTCCAGTACGTCTTTCCGACAGTGTACGGGGTGGCATCTACGTTGATTCCTAAGTGAGTCAGCTGGAGCCGTCTTGTATCGACAGCTTGATCTCCCAACCCGGCCGCTCAGCTTCTCTCATAAAAAGCATCCTGGCCGATTGAGTGACATGGTCTCTGCTTTGCAGATGAATGTCACAAGAAGGGCCGCTCTTCCTTTCTGATCAAGATTTAGCGGCGCCCACCCTCCCACCCGATTTTCCTTGTCACGTTGAGGGGGGTGGCATCTACGTTGATTCCTAAGTGAGTCAGCTGGAGCCGTCTTGTATCGACAGCTTGATCTCCCAACCCGGCCGCTCAGCTTCTCTCATAAAAAGCATCCTGGCCGATTGAGTGACATGTAAATGTACATACACAGCTGTATAGAAACATGCGGAGTATGTCCACTGGATTGCACAAGCAAGTTTTGGACTTCGACCGGAACTTACAGCGAGCGCAAGCATCTCGACCGAGCACAAGGTTGAAGACTCATTTGCCTCAAAAGCCAAAGTGCCAGTGTCTTGTCATCTCCATCGCACCACCAGCATAAGCTGGCAAGACCATCAAGGTGCGCTCATCTTGCACGTGTTGCTGATGCCAGCTCTGTTTGATGTCCTATTGTCACCAACACACTTGTCTTATCATAGCTGGCTGTCACTGCTGGTATCCTTGTGATTTCTACTGTCTGTTTGAAAGCACCGCTTGTGCTAGCATTGGTATGCCTGATATGCTTGCCCTGACGAGTGCGACAGTACCTGCCATTAAACCTTGAGGTCACACTGTGATACTGTGCAGGGCGCTCTCGACACTCAAAGGCGCATGGCTGATGTTTGTTTGACACCGCTTACTAGTGTGCCCAGCATTTTTCTTGCGTTTTACTTTAGTTGTATTGATGAGCAACCAAAAGTCAGCGAAAGACATCATTGAATTATAGCCCAAAGCCCAGACACCTGCAACCAGAAATGCAAGCTTGACAGAGAGCAGAACCGCGTGCATTCGCATGCATCCAACCCGTCAAAGCAGCGGTATTAAAGCCCTCCAAGGTGCCTTGAAACGTGGCGAGATTCCATTAGAGCCAAAGGCGTGCGGCTCAGTTGTCAGTCCAAGATGGAGGGATTAGGGCTTTTAGGAATCACTGACTGGTCACAGAGGTAATTAGCGATGTCCCAGGTCTCCACCTCAAGACCGTTCAAGAGACTTTGCAAGCACAATCCCACAGCAGAGCAGTGATCGTGCCAAAGCTTGAGTAAGTTCCAGGTATTGCGATACACTGGCAGCAGCGAAGGTAGTCGTTAGGACTTCAGGATTATCGTGTGCGTAGAAGAAGGCGAGCGGGGCGAGCGATACGAAGAAGCAATCAACATGTTCAGCTTTGTGGCCCTCGTCAAGCATTCGACTGGTATCACAAGCTCCCTTAAACTCGACCACTACCCCTGAACCCGAAAATGCACACGACTCAGGTCATCGACTGTGAAGCTTCGCCCTCATCGATGGGAGAGTCAAGCACGGAATCTGCCCCGGCAGATCCTGGCCGATGCCTCGAATCAACTGACCGAGTTCAGCCATGAGGGGCTTCGACAGGCTCTACGTCGGGTTCAGGGCTTAGGGAGCCTAAGCCTATTCCGATGTGTTTCTCGCGGCTGGGATTCCATGGGAAATGAAGACCCAAGGTCTACCTAAAATCTAAACCCAAAACGGCCCGAGAACAAACAAAAAAACAACTGAACCCAGCAACTCGGTTGACATAAGACTGGGGCACGGGCGCACTCGTCCTGGCCTGGGCCTTCCATGCCAAAATAGCCACTGAGGATCCCTATTCCCTCCATCAATACCCACAGGCTTATGATTGGTATTGTCTCCTTTGAGTGTGGGTGTTATTGGTATAAGTCTTGCTTTTTTGGTGTACAGAGCACGTCGAAATGGGGGCATGTTCTGTTGAACAGGGAATGTGCTCTTATATATCTGCTTCAAGCATGACTAACCTTCTTCTAATTGGCCAGGCGCGTGTACAGAACCCTCTATTTAGTCACACGTATGGATTCCTTTAAAGAATCCTGATGTCACAATTGCAATCATATTTGTGCATGCCCTGGCGTGACCCAACAGAGCTGGCTAGTGTAGGAGCTTCTACAGTCGTGATGTTGATTCCTTGTTAGCCCCGACAGTCACGCAGACTTAGCAACAGCAGATCCCCAAATCCCCTCGAAAGGTGCCGGCACCCAATACCAAGAAAGAAACTCCAAGTTGCATCTGAGTGGGAGCACCGAAATCGCTTTAGCTTTGATGCGAATCCCTAGACCCCCGAAACCCTCAACCCGAAACTCCAAACCCAAAACACTCAACTGGCGGGCGGGTGTCAAAACAAGCTCCAAACCCCAAGATTTCGGCCCTGAGGGTTTAGGGCTTTAGGGTTTTGGGTTTAGGGCAGCGAACTTCCAGTATCGTCTTCAGACCTTCCCTAGCTTGTCCGAGAGCGTCCGAAAAAATCCCTAAACCCTAAACACCACTCTCCGAGTCGCCGAGAGTCCAAAACCCACCTTTCGGATCCCTAAACCCTAAACCCTAAACAAAACCCTAAACACTGAACAGTCGGCAAAAGGTGTCCAAAAAGAACCCTACACCGCACTTTTCGGATCGAGGCCCCGTGCGGGCTTTACCCTCCATTGGCTCGGCAGCGCATGGGGTCGATTGCCGACCTTGTGCCTGGCTCCTTGGGTTTAGGGTTTTTGGTAGGGTTTCGGGTTTGGGGAGTAGTTTACATCAGTTTCCTTTCTTCTTCAGACTTCAGGGTACCCGGCAGTTGGAATAGGCCTGGATGCAACAGCGCTTTGGGTTTAAGGTAGTAGCCATTCCTTTGGTAAGGAGTTTTTACCAGCTTCGATGTATATGGGTACAGGGTTCAACGAGGAATCGATGCAGACACTCTAGGATTCTTGAATGGAGGGCTGTCGTAGGGTTTAGGGCTTTCAGGGCTTTTGGCTCAGTGCGGTTGATAATTTGAGAATTTTTGGGCTCAGAAATTAGAGTGCAGGAGTTGGGGTAAGGGTTGAATGTTTCGAGTTTAAGATTCGAGTTTAATTAAGGCTTTGGCAATGTCGAGTTTAAGCGTGTCTGCAGTCAAGCGTGACTGTCTCCCCCTCTCTCGCTTTGTTTGTCCAGGGGTCTCTACAGGAGATTGTTCTTTTCCGGGACCAATCATCGCGTTCTTCGTGCCTGCAAGATGCTAGGTTCTGGAAAAGTGAAGGATGCAAGAACGGCAACGCATGCAGGCACTGCCACTGGAACGCACTTGGTAAATGCTGAGGGTTGGAGCGCATGACGGATATGTGTCAGCAAATGCATGGCTAGTGGCAAAAGTCCAGGTCACCTGTGTCCGGAGGGCGAGATTCGTCGCAAGAAGAAGATGAAGCAGGACTTCCGTGCACATTCGTAGATTGCACGGCCGATTCGTCAATGTCGTAACGTCGAGTACAGACCGGATAGCAATTGCCCTTTAGCTTGACACACGCTCGTTGACCATGTCCAGGAGGACATTAAGCAAGCCGTGGCATCGCAGCGTGGCCCGGCCAGGGATGAATTCATCAGTTCAGGACTTCAGCATGGGCATTTTACGTTGGTGTTCGGTATGAAAGACTGCCGTGGCTGATGCATGTACGGTATACGTCCCAGGTGCTCAAGAGCAACTACAGGACCACCTCGTGCAGATGCAAATGTTTCAGCAGATGCCCGGCACTTGTCGCGGTCGTGGCAGACCTGCGCAAGGCGTGATGGCTGTTGTCGTTTCCACATTCTGAGGCAGGCATCCATGATGGTGGCGAACATGGTCCAGATGTCACAAGCTGCCCGGAAACACTTTCGTCCGTAGTTCTTTTTGTGCAGAATGTCCTTGCAGCTTCGCGTCACATGGTTACGTCTCTTGAGCTGGTACCAATCTGCCGCCAGTGGATGCAGAGGCAGCCCAAGTCCAAATCTAGTCAGAGCCAGCAAACCAAGGCAGCATTTCAACCCTTCTCGTGACGGCTTTGACCTTTTGTTCAGAGCAGCATAAGCGTGCCGCTGCCAGAAGACTGCAGATTTTCACACGTTTATGGTTCTGTTGGACAACCTGATCGTCCCGACAGGCTGCACCGTCTTAGATGTGCGCAGCCTGTCGACACAATTAAGTTCTGCTCGAGTCTTGTGCGTCACATGGCTGACGGCCTGCAGGGCCTACAGTGGGACTTTTTTTGCGGATGCCGCAGAGCAGACGGTACGTAGGCCGACCCAACTGCAGGACACACTTTTCCTGTAACTAAGTTGCGAGATCTTGTTTTGAAGCTTTGCGGTAACGTTGGAGCTGTCTTTGGGGTCTCGGCCCCTCAGTTGCTCCGCGATGTAGTTCGTTTGGAAGGCTTAATGCTCGCGTTCCCCAAGACATGACTCGCTGGGAAAGGCCAGGGAGTTTTTTCCCTTGGACGGCGCGAGGTGTTTTCCATCAGGCAAATGGACAGCCCCATGCTGGCAAGCAGCAGGTTTGCCGCAACTGGGACCTTTGTAAGTGCGACTCTGCCCACCGCTTGGCCATTCGGGTGGCTGGGACTTCGAGCAAAACGGCTGCACTTAGCCCTTCTGGGCGTTTCAGACTCTGAAGTGAATGGCGCGCACGCGCGCCCTCCGAAAGTCATCACTGTCAAACGATTCAAACCTGGCGGAAGCTACGGCAGACCTTCGGCTCATATTTCCTCCGCAAATTTTCTCAGTTCATATATGAATATATCACCTCATAGCCTCGGAAACGAGCAGGGCTCTGCAGGGCTCGTGGGGGTCATGGCTGTGCATTCTCTTCCAAAGGGCTCTTCGCTCGTTGCTCTCTTCGATCTCTCTCCTTCTCCCTCCGTGTCCGTGCCGATCTCTCTGTTTACATGTGCAGGAACAAGCAGTTGAAGACACACGTGACAGAACGCATCTGCTCACTTCGGGACCTCTCATGGTCCCACGTGCAGGGACCTCTAAACTCTTAACGCCCTAAGCCCCAGAACCGCACACCCCGAAAACCCTAAGGCGAAAGGTCCTCTACTCAACCCTAGAATTAGCCCTAAACCCCTAAACCCAAAGGTCGGTTGTGAAAAAGGTCGGTTGTGGATTGACTTTGCGTGTCCAGTGTTCTTGTGGGGGACAAGCTCCTGTAACGTGGGGTTTCACGCTGTCCGACGAGACCGAGCTCCGTGCATGCTTCGTGCGACCCTAAATGCCGTGGGGCCGTGCTAAACCCCCAAAACTCTAAGCCGCGTAATCCTATGAAGCCTAATTAAAATCTCAACCCGAAACCCTTATATAAGGCAAGAAAACCTTACAGCTTCCGGAACCCTACAAACCCTAAACCCTCAACCTGCGGAGGTGCTGCGACGCCCACCGCTTGGGTCGCCGCCTGCGGCGCCGCCTTGGCAATCTCGGCCCAGGCTTCGCCGGGCGTCGCCGGGTCTCGCAATATACAGTATCAGTGGGGGATAGTTGGGGTAGAGAAATCGGTATCTAGGTATAGGTATGTATATGCGTATGTATGTGTGTGTGTATGTGTGCATATTTATACACATATGTGTATATATAGGTATATATATGATATGTATATATGTATATGTAAAAATGAGAGAGGACAGAAGATAGGTAGATAGACAGATAGACAGATGGACAGTTAGAGAGTTAAGCAGTTGACAGCGTCATGGCAGAAACATGCTTGATATTGCTACTAGAAAAACCTAGTATGCGTTTAGGGGTCTAGGTGAACTCATTATGATCTTCACCGCACCGGCCCGGCGGCTGCGGCTGCGGATCGTGGAATTACCAAGCCCTCCTTGTAGTATCGTAAGGTGTAGGTATTGCACGGCAAAGTATGGTATATCATTGTATAGTCTAGTATAGCATATAATATTATTACATTCCATTAAATCTTGCATATGTTATGCTATTTCTAAACCAAAACCCTGAGGCGCGGAGAAGAACAAAGGGCTCCAGTTCCCGTACCCCGCGGTCCGTGGCCTGCGCGGCCATGGGTGGAAGTAAGCCACTCGGGCAGCAGCTAAGACAGGGGTTTGGGTGTTTGCGGTATGAGAACCCGGGAGCATGCAGGGTCCCAAAAGCACACCAATCAGAGTAGCAACAGTCCCAGCCAATGCTCCCGCCCAGGAGCTTCGTGTCAGACGCGATACATGAAAAGACTGCCGCCAGCAGGGGTTCATCACTGCCATCCCAATCACCCCGATGATTGTCATCATTTCAATTTCTGCATGAATGACACGCGACAGCCGTGATCGCGTCGCATCCAACCCTAGTCGCCTCCATTTTCGGTCTGACCACCTGACCGCGATTAGAATTCTTGCAGGCAGTCGAACAGCAAGCCACTTCAGAATAGTAAGGACAGAAAGTAGAGTAGTTGGTGGTTATATGGACTGACAAGCAGCGATGTCGCGGGGATGCCCTGGGGGTTTGAGCTTTAGGGACTCCCTGCGCTCTGCTCCATCAGGGTACTATACTCTACTCTACTCCACTCTGCTATACTTTGCTTCATTATCAACCATGCCATACACTGTTTTCTATATGCTATATCATATCCTATATACTATTTACCATGCACTATACGATCAAATTTGAGTTAGTAAGACGGAGCTCTGGAAGCCTTCCCAAAACTTGCATCTCATGTGGCTGCTTTTGACTTGTCGTTGCTTCTAGATGCAGCTTTCACGGTAAGCCACTTGTAAACCTTAAATACCCCTAAACGCCTAAACCCGCTATACAAGCCTCGACTTCCCAAACCACTACACCATTGACAAGCTCAGGCGAACCTTGGATATACAAGATAAATACATGCATATCCTGAGCCCCCCAAAGCGAAGATGAACCCCAGACAGTCTCAGGCGAATCCTGGTGATGGGAGGGACGAGGTTTATCGGCTGCTACTTGGTGGCGAAGCTCCGGGAGCTCGGACATCAAGTGGTGGCCTGGCAAGATTTCTGATGCGATGGCGTCGGCATAGGGGCTGGTCAAGTCTTATCCTAGTCTAGCATGGTATGGTACAGCACAGCATAGCGTAGCACCACACAGTATAGCTCAGTAGAGTATAGTAGTATCGTAGTTTAGCGCCCCATCATTGCATGTGTCCTTTTGGTCTAGATCCCTGGTGCACTGCAAGGTGGTCTGCAACCGTGGAAAGACAAATGGTGGCCTCCCAGATGCTTGAATGCAGCAGCATTAAATAACAACGAACATAATTTGAACAAAACATTGAGAATAACTATTATTTACCGGGCCGCCGGCCAAGAGGTCAACGTCAGAAGGTGCAGATGGAGTGCCAACGTGATTCGAATGCTACATGATTCTTATCCTATGATAGTGTAGTGTGATATAATATAGTATACTATGATATATGCTCTAGGATTGCTATACTATACTTTCATGCTACACTAGCTGTTACCAGATACGCCGTACTATACTTTCCGCTTCTCAGGAACCACTGCCGGGGATTGGCGATGCCCAGTACCAGCAGATGCTCCAGGCAGCTTGTTGGAGCAGCTTGCAAAGAGACTTAGACTGAGTGACTTGGGCCTGGGTTCTTGTTAAAAAATTGAATCTTTTAAGTTACCATAGTAAAGAAGCCATATTATTTACTGTAGATCCCTATTATGGTAGCTTCACACAACCCCTGAACAAGAAGCCAGGGGTTTACACGATTGAGGGTTGATGGGGTTGAGGGACGTAAAGCGCCTTGTTGCCAGGGTGTGACGGTGCTGCAAGCAGACCGAAAGAACCCGGATCAGCTGAAGGCGGCGGTGTCTTCAGACGCTCAAACGCAATTGTTGGGAGGCGAATGTTGTTGACTGGGACCCATCAAGATCTCACCTATGTCCTTGACCGTCCAGGTGCTGAGAATCAACACATGCCGCCTTACCAAGCCTCTCACACCAAGGCGGGAAAATTCGACGTGGTATTTGACAACAATGTGCGGAAGCTCGAGGACATTCAGCCACTGGTGCAGGGCCTCCAGGCCCTCCCCAGTTGGACATATTTGCGCTGGCAGAATCTAGATTGAGTAGTTGGAAGTTGGTTGGATGGCTTTGGGCAGTGCAACCTTATAGTCATAGTTGTTGCTCCTCTTGCATGGAAGGAAAGACTTGCTCGTAGTAGCGATCCTGCTTGTTGTCGGCAATGGAAATTTCTAGCGTTACCTGTCCGATTCTTCTTCGCTCATCAAGCTGTTTTTGGAGACGGCGCCTGTACGG